AATATTTTTTATGGTGCATTATTATATTAATACATTTATTTAATCATTAATTATCTTGTTTGACAACCTTTATCCATCCGATATATGCTTTCGTCGGATCTATAAGATATTCCATGAGCATGTCGACTTATCTAGAATGACGTGAAAGCCCATTATTGATCAAACTAAATAATTATAATGGGAAAAGTTTAAGGTAATATGTAGATTAATTTATTATGTGACAGTATATTTTAATTAAATTGCTTAATATTCATTTACATTTACTAATGGACATTTTTAACGTTCTTACGGAATTTCTTCATATGGGATCGAAAGTTCGATCAAAGCATTAGGAAAGTATGACGAGTCTAGTATAAAAGCGATATTTTGACTTCTTTTTTCATGCAAAAACACACCCCAAACCAATGTATATCTCATAGGAGATATGGTATGCATGATAGAAGGAATTGGCAAAACTTAAGTCTTGAACCCGATCTCAACGAGTAGCTCGAAACCACATAAGCGAGATGGATGGCATCGGGGTCGGCCTATCTAGGCATACTTTGGGTTCGATCACACATAGAGAGCACGTAATATACATGATAAATCCTATTATATATATATATATATGGTATGCATGATAGAAGGAATGGGCAAAACTTGAGTCTTGAACCCGATCTAAACGGGTAGCTCGCAACCACATAAGCGAGATGGGTGGCATCGGGGTTGGCCTATCTAAACATACTTGGGGTTTAATCACGCATATGGAGCACGTAAAATGCATATATATTAACATAAGGAGTTAGTTCATGAACTCAATGCTCATAAGGTGTTCTTGAAGACTCACGGAAAAAAAGATTGATGATAAGTACGTATTCATTGATCGACAGATAAAAAATCTCGAGTCAAGTAATTTATAAGCTTATTACATACATATGTCACTTTTGTATAACTTATTAAGATTACTATTTAATATTAATATGTTTTCAATTATGTAGTACATTTTTGATAAAAAAAAATATTTAAGAAGGAGCTTGCTAGCTAGTGGATAGAGGGTACTTCAATGCTTGACATCGACAAGAACAAGATATTAAAAGGGTTGTTGGAGGAGGAGGCGGTAAAAGAAAGAGAATATACGGACTCGATTCACAAGCCTCTCACTATTACTCAAATGTTAGTTCATCATCTAGTTCAATTTACCTTATGGTTATATGTTGATATTGAGATGAATCGAAATGAAGTGGAGGCCAACACTATTAGACGGTAAGAAAAGATTCGAAATTGAAGGGTAATGTTACATTGATCCTAGAAAATTAAAGGTGATTGGAGTAGCATAATCAAGAGCGACTTACAATAATGCAACGAGATGTTATTGAATATGCAAAAAGGTCATTCACCCACCAATCCTCCGACCGACCATAATGAGTTGGATGAAAATATTGATATGTGACATGTAGCCCCTTCATCATAGTGTCTTTTTTTATCGCTGTTATACTTTTATTTGCTTAAATGCTAATATTCTTTAATATAATTTGATTTTTGAATATATATTGAATTAAATTTTATATATTATAATAAATTTATATTTTTTACAATTCTATTTCATATCGTTATTGTATTTGTTAAATTGGATTGGATTTTATATTTCTTATTAGCGATATGTGAATGATGAAATAATTGATCGAAAATATCATAAAAAAAAAAAGATTTAGCAACGGTTTTAATCCGTAGCTAAATTTTTTCATAATTAGTGACGACTTAGGTTAACCGTCGCTAAACGAAGCTAATTTTAGTGACGGTTTAATGATTGTTTTTTTTTTAAATCATCGCTAAACTATCAACCTTTTCCTCCATTTTTAGCGATAATTTTTTTTTAGCGATGGATAAATCGTCTCTAAATTCTCGAAAAAATTCTAAAAATCATCTCTAGTTAATTAGCAAGAAGGTTTTTAGCGATGGTTTTAAACCATCTCTAAACCATCGCTAATTATAACTAACGATGGTTTTTTTTAACATTTAGCGACGATTTAAACTCTCACTAAATGATTACTTTTTGTACTCGTTGATACATTTAAATAAATTTCATATATATTTTTTAACTATTAAACTCAAAATTTAAACCTAAATATTATAAAAGAAAACATATCTCTTTAATCACGAAACAACACCTTAGAATTTCTTTCTTACATTCTAAAAACTTTTCTACCTTGCAAAAAATAAAACTCTTTTATATCTTTTTATCTATTGGATTTATGAGAATATTATAGATAGAATTGGAGTCATCAAATCGATTTATGATGTGGATCATATTGATGATATTCTTATATCAATGTGACCATATCATTAAATATATCATCGAATTGACAATGACTCGTTGATTTGAGATAAATCATCAAATATATCCTTTTAATATTGTAGGCGATGAGTCTTGGATGCACTTCTCAAGTAAAATTGAAAAACATGGCTTATGTAGGAGGTGATGATGGTTTGATGATCATTGAAAATGGTAGATGATTTCTTTGTGTTGGATACTAGCAAAATAAATCCTTCGATTGGGTGAGAGACTCTTTGACAATAAGTTAGTGGTTAAACGATGATGAATTGATCTAAAAAACGCTATTTTAAATAGAATATTTAATTATATGTGGATGATATTTTAGATAAAAGGGAATTACATATGAACTAGAACTTGTTTAGAAATTATTTTAGAATAAGAAAATACAATCTTTTTTTCTTTTGTGATTTGAATTTTTATAGAAGCGAGTTGTGAGTGCAACTTGTATGATATAAAAAGTAAGAATGTCATTTTCTTTTTATATCGGTGATTGAGTTTACAAGTAGTAGTGCTTTTCTATTATTGTATTTGATCTTTGATGATGTTAATATTTATAATGATGAATGGTGATCTGATTAATATCATTATTGAAGAACTTTAATTAAATATTTTGTCTTTCCTAACGATAGGGGAGAAGAGTATGCGTTATATATATTGCGGAACCCATTAGGAGAAGAGGGTTTCTAAAGTTTTCTTGGGAGACGGTTAATCGTCCTTTAAGGACTTTGGACCCGTCTGTTGGATTACGAGCCCATGCTATGACTTATTGACATGAATTGAGACCGATAAATTCAGCGTTGTGTTTATAGACTTTCTATTAGGTTGCACTGGACAAGACTAATGAACCTATTCCCATCTGTAGTAATTTAGGATTTAAAATGGATACTCTTAGGGATGACTTGTCTTGTTTTTCAAGTCTTTGACAAATACTAGTACGACATTGTGATTACGTCTCCCCATTAGTGAGGAAAGAGTCATGTTGCCTTTACCATTCCTCGTCCTTCGCTGTTTCCTTCAAGCTGCGTTTTCCTTCCTCTCCTAATTCGAAATGGGGTATAACATAGAGATGACATACAGGTCAACGATTGTGGCCACTGGTGAAAAAGTTGCTTTGGATATTTGCTAGCTATCATGTCTGATCCTACCATATTTTGACTTCTGAGATTCCCTGGGGCGTCACCCTACTTGTCTGAATTATTTGTATAATTTATTCAGCTGTATTATTTGGTGTGTAAGACAGTGAGATCATTGATAGATTAACATTTTCCTCTTGTTAAAAGTTTTGTATAGTTAATTTCAAAACCTCAAGAATCAGGTCAATGCCTTCCATAGCATAAGCAGGACCATTTTGTAATTTCCTTTTGGAAATTTGTAGTTGCAAGAAAATCTACCTGATACACCCAAAGAAAGAACTTAGGTGCAAATTAAAGGGGAATTTCCAATTTGAATGACAAGAAAAGAAGAACATGGTTAGCAGGAGTCCTCTAATGAAAAGATGAGAAGCTCAATGAGATACAAAGAAAGAGAATGTGTTATGTGTAGTGCAATGAAATTTCTACAACGAAGAAAAATGCAAAAAATGGAAAACCCTGTTAAGTTGCAATCATTTTCTATGACTTTAATTTACTTGTAAGGTTGAGGCCATGTGCTAAGGCAGTGAAAAAGCAAGAACATCACTTCTTATTGGGAGAAGATTTTTCCATCTGCTTTTCCCTTTTCTCAACTTTGTTAATTCACCTTTGTGTTTTGCTTTAACCGTTCACTGTGTAGATGGTATGTTGAATATTCACTATTCCTTCCCTGCAATTCAATTCATACAACTATCCCTCCCTCCTTGATTACCGTTTCTTTCAAATGTTACTTTCATTGAAATTAAAAACAAACTACCTTTTTTTTATTATTATTATTAGATGGAGGGCTTAAAGCATAGGAAAAATAATAATTAAATGAATATGTTTCGGTTTAGTACTAGTTAATTTTTTGTATTTGAAAAAATTTATCTAGTAATAAGTGAGTTTCTTATATTTACAAGAATTCATAAGTTTAAATTCTCAATCTAAAGCATTCAGTTAAAAAAAAAAAATCTCATTATTGGTTCATTTGTAGTAATATATATATATATATTTTTTAAATCTCCATAATATCTCAAATCCAAAGATTCTAACTAATCCATTATTATTCAATTGAACGTACAAAATAGATATATTTATTCAAAAAAAATATTCATGTATACAAAAATTTGAATTTAAAATTACTCACTTAGGCTACTATAATCCTTTTTGCTAAAAAAAAACCCTATTTTCTTACTGTTTCTTTTTTTATGTCCCTAGAAGTCTAACCACTTAGTGTGGATTTTAAGGTCCTATTTATGAAAGAAAAAAAAAACTGAATATATAGTTTGATTAAACATAAAGTAATTAATTATTAATTACATAAGTCCTCAAAACATTAATTAATCCCTCATATTTAAAGTGATGATCGTTGATTTAGTTGGTCTTCATAGTACATACTACTCATTGTGGATTTTAGGATCCTATTCATAGAAGGGAAAAAAAAATCTTTTGACTAAAAAGATACTGAATATATAGTTTGATCAAACATAAAGAAATTAATTATTGATTACATAAGTCCCCAAAACATTAATTACATTGATGATTTGATTTGGATTTTGGTAGCAACATGAATGTTACAGAATGAAGCCATTAGCAATGGCCTGATTAGTTTTGAAATTAGTGGTTTCATACACTGGGAGCTCCTCTTTGTACCTTCCAATCCCAATAAGATGATCAAGCTCAAAAAGATTAGAGCTTGAACAACTCTCATCATCACTATCGCTTTCATCTTCAACATAACTGTGAAAACCCCTAAAATCAAATTCACTAACGTTCTTCTTTTGATGATGATTTCTTAAATAATCTGCAGCTGCTCCTTTAGCAACCTCTAATTCCTTGACAGAATTACTTTTGACAACTTTTTGGGGCATTGGCATCAATCCAGGATCATCTCCATAAATACACTTATGCCCACAAGGTCTAGAATCCTCATCAACAATGACACTAACAGGATAGAATCGAACTGATCTTTTTGTACCATTACTTGGTTTCCCTCTTGGAGGGGGTGTTTTGCTCAAACAAGACCTTGAAAAGGGAGTAACCGATGAGCAAGTAGACTTTGATTTACGCTCAAAACTTACATCTTCCATGGCCCCAATGGAGCATATTTTCACCTTTTTTGCAGCACTTGCTGAATTGAAAATAGAATTTAGAAAGCTTGCAATGCGACCACCTGGTGAAATTGGCTGCTTTACTTTCTTTAATTCTCCATAGATCTTTAATGCTTTTAGCTTTGTCTTAGTAAAGCCTCCTCCTTCACACTTTGGCTTCTGTTGTGGCTTATCTGAAAGTACTGGTTTGGTTCTTTTTTGGACAAAACTTGGATTTTCTCTGACGCTTGAGTCGTTTTCAGAGGACGAGAACACACCACCTCCTCCTCCTCCTGCAAAGCTAGAATCTGACGAGCTTGAAGTCGAATTATATTGCGCAGAGCCACCAGTGCTCTGCTTCTCCATCCAACTTTCAATCATCACAGCTCGCCGAAGAGTAGTAGGTACCTCTTTCTCCTCTCCAAGAAACGATGCGTCACACCTGGTTGTAGAGACAGATTTGTTCTTGATCCCTAACACATGTTCTTCACCGTTGGATTCATCAATCGAACGGTAAATAGAATCAAGAAGAGTTGAAGAGAAAGATGGGGTTCTTCTTCTTTGAGGGAATGTGCTTTCCCAAGAAGATCTCTCCTTCTTGTACATGTTTTATGTACGCAAAATGTTGAGGGAAAACAGAGTTATTTATACAAAAAAAAAAAAAAAAAAAAGCTGAAGAGGATAGAGGGCTAGAGGAGGATTTGACAGGAAGAGGGTGAAAGCAAGCTAGCTGGGGTACCTGGAGATCCAAAGGACAGTGAGGTATTGTTGTTTTAAGGGAGTTTAAAAGCTTTAGTGTCTGCTAAGAGAATGTCAAAAGCTGCAAAAACACATTAATAGAAATGCAAGTAGGGTTACATATCATGTGAAGTAGAAAGAAAGAAAACCAAGCAAATTAAATAAATAAAATAGTACTGTACTAGTATAAGGCTAGGAGTTTTGTTTAATCGGACAGAACTTGGTGTTTGTGTGTAAATGTGGTATGTTTGTGTACGGCTAGTTTTGAATAATAATGTGGTAATGTTTGTGGGAGAAAAGAAAAGAAGAGAGGAGAGGAGGAGGAAAGCAAGCACTACACCTGCACATTAACGTCAACAATGGAAAAGCGGACTCTTTGCAGTGGGCGTAGAAAGATTTTAAAAAGGAATGCCGCGCGTGCGGGTAAATTATAGTATTAGGAGGAGTTGCTAGAAGTTGGATGGGATGGACAGGTTGGCAGGCAGAGGCAGGTGAATGGTGATTGCTTTACTGTGGGTTGTCCTTGAAAGAAGTGGAACCTTTTTACTGGGGGAGGTGATGCAAGACTTAAAGGAATTTTCAATTTGGTAACTTTTGGTTCTGTCTTTAATGAACGAATGAATGCATGGCGACATGAGGTACAAGCATCTTGGGTTGGGTTGGCCATTGCAAATTCAGATTAACTGTAAATTGATCAAGTGCTCACGCTTTTATTTCATTAATTAATTAATTAGTTGGTTTTTTTTTCGGAACTAACAGTCCACCTAACATACTTATTTCAAGTTAAAACATGAAATTTTTGTTTTAATTATTCATGTTAGTAAAATGAGGGTGAAAAGGCAAATTAAATAATTACGTTCTTAAAATTTCATTAAACAAAAGGAAAAATATGTTTGAAAATGATTATGACAATACGCCTAAAAAGATATTATAACATACAATATTACATAATTAAGATTATTATATTAGTTCATTCCATGGGATTGCTTTATTTTTGAAGGATACAGTTAGGTTTTTTTTTTTTTTTAATAGACAAATTATCCCGTTGGTTGAGAAAGTACAACATGACACCCCTTTAAATAACTCTAAACGAATTTTTCTTTTCTTTTCTTTTCTATCAAATATATAATTCTACTAACCTACATACCCCTTCTTATTTTCTTATGTTGGTCCAGTGGCAATTGATGAGATCGTGAATCTCAAATTGATTTTGTGTGATGATGTGATTTTTTCTTAATTAGTGTAATTGTAAAGTTTGATGGTGAATAGAGATTGAGCTAATCAAGATACATGCAAAACAAGTCCTCCGAGTGGATTGAAAGATCATTCAATCATTAAATTAGTATATGGAGGAAAATAGTAGTTTGAAGAGATAGTGATGTAGTGATGCAAATATGAAGAAAATGATGAATAGTAGTTGTTAGTAAATAAATTCAAAACCTAGAACCTTATTAATAAGTATGAAAGAGATGATGAATGTGGCAATTTACCATTTGCATTTTTATACAGCCAAGGACTTTGTCAAATTGCATGATAAAAGAGGTAGGATGCTTCATTCTCTTATACTATTCACTATTGATTCCGATTAGGAAATAAGTGTCTCTAATATTGTTGGTTACTCTTGAAAAAAGATTGTGATGTCATGGTTGTTCTTCATTAGAAAAAAATAAACCTAGAGGCATGTTTTCATTAAATCAATGCATTTTATATCCCTCTAGTTGGTAGGACCAAATGCAAATCCCCGACTATTAGCCAATTATGTAAGAATAGATCTAACAACTCATTCAAAGATTTTTCAAGCAATGTAGATACCTTTAGGGTAGTCCTAGGACTTTCGAGCATGTTTTCGAGTGAAGTGTCTAGGGTATAGGTCTTGGGGTTTCCAAGTGTCACCCTTGGTTGGATCCATAATTATTTTAGCTATATTAGCTACCCCTCCCCACTCAAGTCTTGGTGATTATTATAGCAAAACTTGATTTTCGTTCAAGCTTCGGGAGTATTTTTAGCGATCACACCCTTCATTCGAACCACATCTAGTTGGTTTGTTTAAAAAAGGGGTTTTCATGTTCGGTGTTTCATCACCCTATTTTTACCACAAAAAAAAAAAAACAAAAAAAAAGAGGAATCGGGCTAGATCGGGATAGGCATTTGGTTAGATTATGTAGGCTTGATTAATAATAAAAGAGGAAAAATCATCCCTTATAAACATTATGAATACACATACAAAGAAAGGGAGGAGAAAAAGAAAAGCCTAGTAGTGAAAAAAATTAATAGACACGTAGAGAAAAGAAAGGGGAAACAGAGGCCAAAATTCCCAACTTTGCCACTCCTACTCCGATCATTAGAAACTAACATACACTCGAACCACCATGATCGAAAAGAGAAGACGATTCAAATGTTATCGATTTGCCGCCATTCGATACCGAAACACTTACTATCACGTGCATAAGTTGCCACCTCTCTTGCCGCATATGCAACATGCCGGCTTGTTTTTTTTTTTCTTTTTTGTTGTTGTCCAGTTTCATCCCCAAACTTCGAATTTAAGTGTTTAAATTTTTTATATTTAATTTTCATTACAAATTTTATGGATTGCATGATTATCTTATTATTTATCTTTTGATAATATTTTTTGATTAGGGCCCGCAGTAGTTGTGGAATTGTCGACTAGCTATCGAAAAGAACTAAAAAACCCTAAAACAAATTAATGTATCCACATATCTAGTTAAAAGATCAATTATGTATAAGAAAGGTTAGCATCACCATCATACCATCCTACTTGAAGCGGATCGCATTGTATACAAGTTAAAACTAAAAATCTAGTCTTAATATGTTATAAAACTATGGCTACTTTAATGAATTTATTTTATCGAGATGAAATGATCGAGTAGTTCAAAGTTTAGGCTAGTACAAAGCCTATAACCATACTATAAAGGTAAAAGGAAATATGAATTGAAAGTTTAGCTTATTCCTAATAACTATAAACCTATATCGACGGATAGGCAAGTTTTTAGGGATTAAGAATCCATATTGACATAATCAAGAAACTATTATTGACTTTATCCATATAATTAAGAAGTTAGTGACAACTTTGGTTCTCACAATTAAAGAGATGGGGGGTCACTCGTGACTTCATCCACATAAGTAGGAAGCCATCAATAACTTTAATTCACATAAAATAGAAAGTGATTCAAATAAAAATAGTGAGTCCCTTGTGACAATAGCCTATATCGAAATCATTCAAATAAAATAAAAATAATGAGTCGCTTACAATTATAACCCATGTCAAAAATTATTCAAATAAAACAAAAATGATGAATCCTTTACGATTGCGAGTCCATATTAGAAATGATTCACATAAAATAAAAATGTTGAGTTCTTTGTGACTACAATCGATATTAGAAATTATTTACATACATAAAATAAAAATAATGAGTCCCATATGACTATAGCTCATATTAAAAATCATTCAAATAAAATAAAAATGGTGAGTCCCTTACGACTATAACTTATACGGGAAACCATTCACATAAAATTAAAATAACAAGTCTTTTGTGACTATAGTCCATATTAGAACTCATTCATATAAAATAAAAATGACAAGTCCTTTATGACTCGTAGTTCATACCGAAATCATTCAAATACAATACAAATGGTAAGTCCCTTGCGATTGCGGCCCATATTAGAAATCCTTCATATAAAATAAAATTACAAGTCCTTTGCAACTATATGACATATTAGAAATCATTCATATAAAATAAAAAAGACAACTCACTTATGACTCGCAATTCATATCATAAATCTTTCATATAAAATAAAAATAGAGAGTCATTTAAATCGACAATAGATTTGCCCATTTTTCAACTCTTTGATAGAGATAATTTATATTGTCATCCAAAGAGGGAGAAGGTTAGACAAATCAAATCGTGATTCTTATATTGTTTTCCTTGACCATTTTCTTCAATTTTGAATGGAGACAATTTGTATTGTCAATCGAAAAAGCAAATTTGGTCGAGAAAGGGATCATTGTGAGGCTACCTTTTGTAGCTGAAAAGTTGATAAGTTACTAGAGCAGCTATTGAAAAATGAACTACCATAAAGGAGTTGATGTCTGCTTGTTAGAAGGAGTTGTTATTGTAGAATGAGGTTGTATGGCACTATTGTTTGTAGCAACATCTTCCGGAATAATTTAAAAACAATTGAATTTTTTTTTTGTCTTGAGCTCTTCATAAAGATTGTTAGTTTAGAAGTATTATTTATAAGTTATTTTGAATCATTACAATCTAATATGTATCACTCTAGATAGGAGCCAAATACTAGATAGTGTTCGAACTATCACGAGATTCGAATTTCTAACTCGACTTTGCACCCATCTTTGACGATCCAAACCAAAATGGATTTTTTTTTTTTTACTTAATATATAAAGCTTAATATGTGTACTTCAAAACCCAAGAAGATCTCATTTTCTTATTGGTCAAGGTTTTAATATGTTCAACTTACCTAGTAAATTTATACAAAAAAGATAATCTTAAGATTTGGTTCTAGTCATTATGTGAGTGAGTAAGATCTATCTAAGCCTCAAATAAGGTCCCTTTTGGCTTAAGAGAACCGAGGCTAACCAAGAACGAAGGTGGTAACCGTGGAGGCAATCGATTACCTATCGCGATAATGGTAGCTTTCCAAAAGAACTAAGGCTTCATGAATATTATCCAAGGTAAAATCTATCGAGGCACCAGTAATTCCTCTCAAGATCTAATTACAAGTATATGCAATAAATAATTATATAGTATTATGTGTGAACGTATAATTTCATATCTAGTCTTAAAAAATAAACTAAGAAACTAGAATTAAAAGACCGTAAAAGAAGACAA